CAAAAGCGACTGCGCTTCTATTTTTCAACGTCGACTGCTCTCCCGCGAGATTGAGGATTTTAGGTCGCATAGTGCTATGTAGACGACGAAATGCGTCGGCGGTTCCCCTTAATCCATAAATCCCTTTACACGCGTGTTGCGAATATTTCCAAGAATTCTTTTTGTATTTTGTAAAATGCATTTTAATATTATTCTACAAGACGGTGTAGCGTAAATTATTTTAATTGCTTTAGTGTTACACATTTTCTAATATTATTATAACATTCAATTAATTGGAATTTCAATATAGTCAAAAATTTAACTGATAGCATTATTGGACATACATTTCATTGATCACTGATATATCACTGATATATTTTATGAAAAATTAAATTATGTCTATTAAATACGTAGATATATGTATTTTCAATTCATATCCTTGCTTGATAAATGTTGAAATTTATCAAATTACCAAGGTACGATAATCTTTCATCTTTTCTCTCAAATGATAAATAATTTACATATTCTAAATAACAATTATCTACAAAAGAACAATTTTACTCAAGTATCTAAAAATTTAGCCAAATATAAATCTAAAAATAAATTTTGTTGGACTATGAAAATAATTATATAGAACACTCAAACTGAAAGCTAAAATATCAAAATTTTTTTGCAGCATTGCCTATTATGTTTGAATTTTTTACGCAAATATTTTGATGAAGAAACAATATTATTGTTAGATCTATATCTAGCTAAATTTTTAGATATTTTAGCAAAATCGTTCTTTCCATGTACTTAAAAACCACATAATATCTTATAATGTCAATTACGAGTTTTAAAACATTCGAGTAATTTTTGACGACGACAAAGATTAGTCGATTCGAAATGATTCGATCCCGAATTCAGCGTAAATTCATTCCATATCTATGTATTCTTAAAGTCTTTTTTCTTCAAGGTAAGTGTCCAGACATTTTTTTCATTTTTTTTCTTAAACAATAAATAATTCATATATATTCTGAATAATATAATTATCTATAATACGTAAAAATACTACATTATGTCTAATATCAATTATGGATTTTATGTAAAAACATTCGAACAATCATTACAAAAAAGATTAATCCAATCGAGCGTCTTCGATCCCGAATCTAGCATAGATTCACTCCACTATTCATAGTTTCAGAGTGGCGAGTATAAAGTCGACACCCGACCGCGGTTCGCCTTGGAATTTCTAGCAGATTTGGTCTGAGAAGACCGGCGGGAACGAAGGGAGCGAGAGGGAAGAAATCAGGAGGTAAATACGAGCGACGAGAGTCCAGGGTAAGAAGCAATCGGATTGAATAGTGGAACTCTCGGAATCCGCAATCCGCCGTGAAGTGAATGGCGAACCTCGAAGAGTTCTATGGAGCAGGCGCGCGCGTTTTCCTTTCCTCTATCCGGTCGTCTTCGTCGGTCAGAACTTGTGATTAAGATGCGGTAATCGCTGAATCGGCAAGGGAGACCGAAAGGCACAGAGCTTTTCAATACTTTTTTTGCGATATTCTTCGCGTGAGAAAAATCATGTGAGGAACGCGCGAAAATATTTTTATTGAATCGCCACGTTACGGACCTCGCGTTTCTTGTATAATAGAATACAATTGTTTGTTTCTGATTAAAGATATCAGTTGACAGTTTATTGTATTGCTACACAAATAAAAGTAAAAATTGTGCTTAAAACAATAACAACGTTCGACTCTAGATATTATTATATATTTTCTATATTTTTTATAGCTTTTGCTTTCACTCTTATAAATTAATTAAGAATAAAATCATTTTTAAAGTTTATCGAGATAAACGTTAAATTACTTTTTAAAACTTTTAAAGTGAATTGTTACTCTGAAGAGTGAAATCTCATTCTTAAAGATTCTTAAAGATTGAAAATTAAGCCTCTCGTTTTCAAGAGTGCCTCAATTTTCATTCTTTACAATGAGATTCCATTCCAAAGAATTTAGAGAATACATTTTGAATTAAACAACTAGAAATAATTACAAAACAATTGCAAACAATTAGAAATAATGTGTTAAAGTACGAGTATATATAACAATAGATGAAACAGCATAGCGATATAGAACGCAAGATACCGAATAATAATCATTACAACGTCTTGTGCGTCTTGTGAGATTTCAGAGACACAACGACACAATACGTCGCATTAACATTAGCGCGAACGGATATTGAAATCCGGCGCGAAGAGCATTGCGACAAAGAAGCGGAAGCGGCGGGGGATGGCAGTTAGAGAAGAGTTTCGCCCGCGCATACGTGGAGTAAGTGCAATAATACCAGATTATTTGCACCGCAAAGCCATGCGTACGAGTAAACACAATATTCGCTCTCGGCTCGGCTCGGTTCTGTGAACCGATAGTGCGCCCAGGTCCCGATTCTCCCTCTCTCTCGCTCGTACATCAAATGTCATAAATGTCTCGATACATTCATTCTAGATCCAAATAAATTTTTTCAAAAAAATGCACCAGATTCATAACATTATCCGTATTATTATTAGAAAACAATTAAGAAATATTCTGACTTAAAGATAAAATTTCGTCAATAAATTGCATTAAATAAATTGAGATAAAATTCAGGTCGTTAAGTAAAGACTGAAGTGATTTAAAATAGTATATTAATGTAAAATACTTATAACAAGAAATATTCTTATTTTCATTAAATTAAAAAAAATAAATTATATCTTATATACACACACGTGTGTGTATGTGTGTGTCGTGTTATTTTATTAGTAGCAATTATTATACATATCAATATATTTAGTAAATTTTATAGTGAATGTTACGTCATTTATCAAACCTAGTATACATATACTATACGTATACATATACTCGCGCACGTTTCTCACCCCCACCACTCTCTCTCTCTCTCTCTCTCTCTCTCTCTCTCTCTCTCTCTCTCTCTCTCTCTCATCTATCTGTCTCTTTCTCCCTCTTTCTCTCTCTATGTACCGCTCTGGCGTAATACAGATTCTATTTGAGCTGCCTCAGGGAAGTTAACTTGTGATGCGTGCAGCTCGTCTCGCTCTGTTGGCGATTCTACGAATCTAGTCGATGGTTGGTTGGTTGCAGCACTTCCACGATGAAAATGCAATGCGATAATGGCGCTTAGTTATTTCCTTAACCCCTACATCGCTACTGCGTCAGGTTACTCAACCAATAAGATTAAAATGTAAAAACGCAATGAGACGCTTGGAACAATTCATAGGAATTTTAGAAGGCCAAATTTAATTCTAGGATATATTTTTAGATAAATTTAAACAGGAATTTTTCTCCAAATATTTCTTCGACGTAATAAATAATTTAAAATGTGAATTGCAAATATTTTTACATATTAAGCTAATTAAAATAAAATGCTCACTTAAGTTATTAAGAATTTTTTTGAATCATGTCTATTTGAAACTTTTTTAAATTAAAAACGGGGGTTAAAAAATTATAAAACTACAAAATTAAAAAATGCTCCCTTAATATTTTCTGCAGATACTAAATTAAATCAATTCTCAGTCCGACGTTTTTAAAGCGTCGTTTGTAAAAAAAGGACGTCACGAAATTGGTGTCGAGAAAGCAATCGCACGACGAAGAAGGTCGCGTCGCCGGCGACTGCTCGTAGATCAACGACTCGCGTTCCATCTTCATCGCGCCGCTCAAAGCAAATCAGCCTTCGAAGTGTTACAATTTCGCCCTCCCACCCTCTCCAACCCCCGCCTCGAAAGTCCCTTTAACTATCCCGCTATTTTCCTAACTCCCATCCTAACCCCCTCCGGGGCTTTCTCCCCGTTTTCCACGTCGCTCCTCCACTCTTGCAGCCCTCGCAGGGTGGAAACACGTCGGTCCGACCGGCTGGGGTGGTTTCGTCTAACGGGGTGCGAGCTGAGGTGGGGGTCGAAACGCCCGCCCATTGGTCCGCCCACATAGGACCAAAGCGGTCGCTTCAAATCAATTCAAGCCTCAATCTCACCCCGTAGATGATCCTCCGCTCGCGATCGTGTACCCTTCGTCGTCCGCGAGTTCGTGACGTTCGATCTCGGCCCGTCTTAATCTCAAAAAAAAAAAAAAAAAACCAGTGTCAATGCCAAAAGGAACTCATGACATTTTCCGCAAAAAATTCACGAGTGAAATCTCGATGTAAGTCTTAAGTCGACTTTCGGCAGATTTAGTTCGAATAAAAATCATCGAGTTCTTTAATGAAGAAGCAAGGTCGTACAATCTCGTGAATGCAGATTATTTTTTAGCGACTAAACTAACGAAAATATACTAAAGATCTGCGCTAGTGGAAAGTGTACAATGAAGACGGATCGTGGGAGACATCCTTGACAATGCCTCGTCGGACGATTGACGTGTGCGACGTCGCAGCTTGAACCCGCAGGTGGAAACAAGACGAAGGAGCAGAGCGAAGCGAAAAAGTCCCGTTATCGTTGTGGAAACAAACTATTAGCGTAAGATAGCACTCGTCAAGCGGAGGATAGAGCGATGGATTGAATGTGACAGTTGCTCTGCTGAAATATATCGCAACAGAAGTCATTCGTGTGTTTTCTCCACAGACAATCTGTGAAAGAATTTCGAGAAGTGTGACTTAATCGTGGAAGAATCGTTTAGTGTCCGTATAACGTTACTACAACTTGTATTACAACGTTAATAGTAATCGAGTAAATCGAATTGATTAAATTATGACTGGTCTTCTGGTTTAAAAACTGAGAAGACTAAACTCAGTGTAATTTTCGACAGAAGAAATCGTTACAGAAATATTATATGTAGCAACTATTTGTACTAAAGAAATTTCGTGAATAATTAGTGTAAATTTGTATTATATTCTGACGGATAGTTTTCTTTCGAGATGTTGGACAAAAATTGATACAACTAACTCTTAAGAAATGTTTTTATAAGTGAAATAAAACTCATATTAGGACATCTCGGCACTTGGTATGATTAGTCTAGAGCTTGTAATATGCAATTTTCTTATTAATAAAAAGTAACTCAAAGATTTCATATCAGAGAAATATTAAAAGAAAAAATATTTTGATAACAAAACATTTTGTACCAAGTGGAGTTTGGACTTTTAATGGAGAATGAGAGCGAATAGTAATCTTGAAGAATCAAACGCGGGATCGACGGCAAAATAAACGAGCACCTCGGTGGCAGGTCCTTATGCTCATGAGGCGGCGATCACGATGGAGCCACGTGCGATGATGATGTCGAACCTGTCGTGCGACGGCTGCGCGGACAGCGACCGGGACTCGGATAGTAGCAGCATGATCGTCGACCCGGTGAGTCTCGACAAGAACGACTTGTCGCCGCCGTCGCAGACGTCGTCGAGCCCGGTGATACCGAGCTGCTCGCCGGTACCAACGCCGACGTCAGTGCCGCCGTCGGCCGGCAGGAGTCGAAGCAGCGGTGGAAGCGGTGGCGGCGGACGTTCTTCAAAGAAAACCTACTCGATGATGTCGGCATCGAGTCAATCAGGGAAATCTAGCAGTTCCAATCAATCCCCATCCAGTTATAATTCCGACAAGATGTCGTCGTCCTTGATAAAACCACCGTATTCGTATATCGCATTAATCACCATGGCGATCTTACAGTCGCCGCAGAAAAAGCTGACGTTGAGCGGCATCTGCGAATTCATTATGTCCCGCTTTCCCTATTATCACGACAAGTTCCCCGCCTGGCAGAACTCTATCAGGCACAATCTCTCGCTCAACGATTGCTTCATCAAGATTCCGCGCGAGCCTGGAAACCCGGGAAAGGGTAACTACTGGACGCTGGACCCGTTGGCGGAGGACATGTTTGACAATGGTAGCTTCCTGAGACGCAGGAAGCGATACAAGAGGCCGCCGCCGCACTACGTGCTGCGAGACCGGGCGATCATGGCCACCTTCGCTATTTGTGGTGACCGAGGACCCTGTCCAGGTGGCGGCGGCAGTCACCCGGGTGCTCTCGCTTATCCTGGAGCCGCTTATCTATCACCACCACCCGGTCTGCCATTACTAGACTTTTCTCCATCGACCCTGGAGGCGCTGAAACTCGGCGGTTTCCTGGAACCGCCGCCACCGCTCTACAAACCAGTGCCCATCACGGCGCCGCCGATCAGGCAGATCGATCCGACCTCCACCAGGATCACTACGCTGCCAGCTAGTCATACGACGAGCGTCGACAAGAAGCGCAATTTCAGCATCGATGCGCTCATCGGCAAGCAAGCGGCCAGCGATCAAAACTGCGGCGCGTTGCTGGATCTCAGTCCGTCGGAGCACAGAGAGATCAGGAGTCAGGCGTCTGCCTTCTCGCCGCTTGTCTAGGAGCCTGACGATCTTCTTTTCCAATCGCCAAAGACATACGGTGACTTTCCGAAAGTATTAATCACTTTGTAGCTCTTTAACGAGCTTAGCGTGATTGCTAACTTTGAGAGGGCCAGAAGTGGTATAACTAATTGTAAGCGTCAAACGCGTGTTCTTGTAAGAAGAATTCATAATTATTATTGGACAAGACAATTTCGCTAATATTGAAAATTTGAGTCCAGAAGCTTCAGCTTCTGTCCCTCGAAATAAAGAAATGGAAGAAAAATCATAATTTTTCTTCTTAGGAAAAAGAGTGATAGAATCGCGAAGTGAACACTAAATTCGATCGCGTTGGTGAACGCCATACTCATCAAAGACTGATTAGAAATTTGGCTGATCAAGAATGTGCTTCGAGAAAGTTTGAAACAATCGCACCGCAATGGACTACTCTTTCCAAATGGTAATTGATGTCGTTAGCCAATATTCTTTTTGACCAATGCTGTCCAAATGAAATAAACATCTTAATCTCGCGAATAAACGGAGCATGATGTTTCGTAATTCAGAAATCGGTTTTCCTATAAATCACAGTTTATTCATGGACGAAGAAAGAAATATATATCATTAAAGCAACTCTCTAATAAGAGTCTGAATATGAGAAAGCTACTTTTTAAATCTGCAATGTTTTAACAATTCTTGAAAAAGAAAAAGAGAGAAATAGATAAAAAAATAAAACAGAATAAGAAAAAAAAGAAATAGTAAATGTATGTCCTTCTCTCTCGCAGATTTTTATTCAAATTACTACTCTGCATATAAAACAACGGCTCGTGTTTAGACTCTTATTAGAGGGTTTCTAATTAAAGCAAAGTTTTCAGAGCTTTTTATAAAAATATCGATGTTTCGTTTCGTTATATTGATTATATCGTAAATGTTTTCTGTATTATTTGGGCAGAATTTATCTGTACTAAATCTTATATTAACCTTCGATGCGAATCTCTGAAAATTAGCAAGATGCTTGCTCTGCATGTATTAGCTGTAAATTTTCGCGATAAAATATTCAGCAATTACAGGCGACAAGGAAAACAAATACGTCGAGATCGAAATTCAGATTATTTGTATATTCTACAATCTCTTAGTTTTTATTTGGTAAGGTGAAAGTCATGCTTCATGTAATCAAACCAATCCTGGCGCATAAAATTCCTGATGAACGTTTCTTACCGAGTAGGTAATCAAGATGCGTCGCAGAAACTATAGAAAGATGTGTGAATCGACTTAATGAAGATATATTCGGGGTAATAGCTGATCCCATATATATCAGCGCATCTCTGTAAAAAGGCGTAGTGCAATAGGGTGTAGCGTTTTTATTTGACATTCTCACGTTGCTTTTTAAAACGGCTAGTGGAAGTAGATGGATTACAGTCATATTAATTTATCGCTAATATAAAATTATACTTCTCAAATGTAAATCTTTTATAATTTTTTACAAATTCTTTTCTATAAAATATCTCTTTTTCAAAAGATTAAAATTTTTGTTATCACTATTATATATACCCAGCGGTGATAACAAAAATTTCTTTATAATTATAAAAAACCTTTAACTAAATTATAGTTGAAAATTTCGTGAGAATAGTAACAATCGTCAGGAAACAGCACTAGCAGTTTCTTTCTTTGAGCATATAATATATTGTCTTTAATTCATTATCCTGGTAATGTTAATTATTATGAACCTCGTCAACAGTAACCGGAAAAGTGGAACAATAATGTACTTCCACTCGTCGAAAGAGCTTTTGCGAACAAAGTTGTGTGAATAAGTTGCCCCGCGCGTTCCCCCTGATTTCACTTTTGTTGCCCGGATCTGTCGGTTAGATGAACTTAGGTCGCTTCTATATGGTCGATTAATATCGGCATTGTAAATACGAGTCCCGGACAAATATATGCGCAGCACTCTGTTATAGTGGGGAGAATCTTTCTTCAGTGGATTTAATGTAAAGCATCCCCGCTCGTCCCATTTAGCCGTAAGCGGTCAAGTAGACGTTTGGTGTACATACAGCGAATCTGTAGCGCGATCCATACGTAATTGTGAATACCTATATGACATTTTACAACTAGGATATCGTTTTCCGTTTCACGTGTTGAAGTGGCCGCAGTTTTGAAGATAATAATGATCCCTAATGACGCTTTTAATTCGTTACGTTTCGCGTTGCGTCTGACAAAGCAATTTTTAACGCAAGTTTTGTCCAAGATTTCAAACAAATGAATAATTTAAATTAAATATTTAATAAATGGTAATTGCGTATTGCAAAAAAGATTTAATTTATTAAAAGGAATATCAATTAATTGAAGTGCGTATTTAGTCTCATAAAAATCAAAAGTTGTAGGATATAGTTAAATTTTGTAACAAATAACAATACACTGAAAGAAAAGATTGGTTGCTGCAACAATTTAGATAGTAAAATATGACATAGCATTTTTATATGGCTGCAGCAATCAGTTTTTGGTTGTAACAGCAAATTTTTAGTTGGGTTAGCCTATCCGCAATGTCAGTATATATGATTTCGATAGGCTAACGCAACTAAAAATTTGCTGCTATAACCAAAAACTGGTTGCTGCAGCCATATAAAAATGCTATGCCATATTTTACTATCGAAATTGTGGCAATAACTAATCTTTTTTTTAGTGTGCTATTGAAAATTCGAAGCTAATAGTGTAATTTATGTTCAACAGTAAAATTGAAATTTGCCGGATCTAAATTATTTTGGTAAACATGTCTATAAAAATAAACAAGCCTATTCTTACATTGCAATGGCCAATATACTGAAAATGTGAAAATTTTGTAACGATCGAATATTTAACGATTACAACGGTGATAAACGATATATTTTACTAATCTCATATATTTTTCAATCATTACGAAACGCACGCCGCGATACTTCACTTTGTTCCTCCGCTAAGAGTAAAGCAACAATGTCGAAATATATGTTTAGTTATAGACTATACACATCCTATCGTTAAAAAAAATCATCAGTAGATCTTAGTAAGTACTGTATGTGTCAAAATGATAGATTTATAATAATATGTAATAATAAAAATAATAAAGTATCGTTAAGTATAAGCGGGACTGTTATACATCTTCTTCCCCATTAAAACTATGGTGCATAAAAAAACTTAAGCAGCAAGACGTAAGCAGTAAGCGAATTAGCCAATCACAGTAGAAACTACTTTATGTTCTCTATTGTGATTGATCGATTTACTTACTGCTAAGTTTTATTGCCTTACATTTTTTTATGTGTTTTTAGCTTAATTGGTCGTTTCGGTTGCGTCTTACTGCCTTACGTTTTTCCATATACCATGGCTTTTATGTGACATCTACAATAGAGTAGTGTAAGAAATTAACGAATCCTAGTCAATTATTTTTCTTACATTCGACTGTGTGATCGGTCAACTTTTTGCGGCTTAAAACTTTCCTACCCTATTGTAGACACTGCTTTGGTTTATCTGTCTCGATTAATTCTCGTCAATGCAATAATTACGAATTTAAATCTTGTTAGATAATTAAAGGGCAAAAGTCATCTGAACGCACTGGATGTATCCGTCGATTGGCCGAGAGTGAGCAATTCTCTTCGTTCCTGCTCCTGTCAGGGAAGGACGTCGTGCGCGTGAGATAAGACGATAACGGGGAAAACGCGAGAGAAGTCGACGGTAAAACGGTAAAGCGGAAGCGAGAGACGAGGAGGGCGTACAAAGCAATATCTTGTTTACTCGCTTCTCCCGGCGCTGGCAATGTGAAGCGGAAAAGAGAAGAGGGCGGCGACGGTGGAGCGCAGAATGAGTGGATTTTCATTGCAGTTTAATCCCCGTTCCCGTATCCCCCCACGACAACGGTATTCTAAATGGCGATACGAAGGCAACTCTTGTCGCTTGGGGTGACGATATTACATTCCTCAATCGTGACGAAGATAACGGCCGTCACCGCCGCATCCCGCGGCACTTGCGAGCATCGCGCACTTAAAACGCGCTTCCTCCGCTCTCCGCATCTCCGTTTTTTCACCCAATCATTCCGTTTCTCTTCCTACGTTTGCTTCTCCTCTTCTATTTTTCTACGCGTCGCGGGGAAGAAAATTTACGATTACAATGGCGCGATTTGCAAAAAACTATGTTCGGAATTTATATAGCCATAGGTGCTTATTTCAAGACCATCTTAAGTCTTAATATTAGCATCTTAAATCAATGTCTTAAGATGCTAATACAGTTCTTTGATTCATGACATTAAGACTGTACTTAAGACAGTCTTAAATATATAAGAATCGACTATAATATGAATATATACTGGCAATAGCAAAATTTGCAAAAAACTATTATTGCGCACGTGCAAGTGCAAGTGCAAATCGAGAGCGACACAGAAACAATGCGCATTTTGAATACAGCTGAGTCAATTTTATTGCATTTTATCTTCTGTTTGGCGTAGATAAATATTATTCATGTTATTCATGTTTTATGTGCTATTATAGATAATCTTCTAAGAATCAGCGCTGTGCAGGAAAGCACGCAGTTTACGATTAGCTCAATTGATTGATAAGCAAAAATGATAAAACAAATTATCTTTCTCGTATTTTCCTAACGTATATTATGATGATCGTAATTTCAATACGGAAATAAAGTCAAAGTTGCAATACTGTAGAACTTTGAATTGATACTGCATTTGTCCATAGGATTAAGACTATCAAAGAAGTTAATTTACTATCAGATAAACAACTTCTTTTTTTGTCAAACAATTTTTTTCCAATGCCGATTAACATGTTCCATAAATCCGTCATGCGATAAACGCATTTACATTAGATTTTACTTTTAGATAAAAAAAGTTTGATATTTACCAAACAATAATCCTGCAATGCGAAACTAACAAGTTGCAAATCGCAACTAGCAAATTACAAATTATAAATCGTTGGAGTTACGAAGACTTACGTTAGACCGCAAAGATTTACGACACGTGTACGTAAGACTTTACACGTGCTCCGAATAACAATGATGCTACAGTTTAAAAGCAACTATT